GTAGTGGAATCCTGAGTACAAAAGGACAGTTGGAAAACGGGACAGATTTGGCCTGGGCCAGTGATGGAGATGGACCACTTTTCCTGACTCCCAAGTGGGACTAGAGTTTGAGAAAGGATATTTTCTGTTTTCCTCCAACTCTGATAAAATTTGTAATAAAAATACAAAGATAACGAGTAGGTCATATTTATCTCACTGACTGGATTTGATTACAAGAAAATTAAATTAGGACTGTCAACATCTGGGACACTTGATCCTCTCAGTGGGAGGAACACAGGGCTGTAATGCCTAGAGCTTTGGATTTGGGGTTAGCTTTCCACCCCCGTGACTCGGGAACATAGGAGGAGCCATCCAGTTTCTCTGAGCTTTGTATCTTCATCAGCAAAATGAGTGGGTGAGCCTGAATGGCCTATAATAACTCCTAGGGTAAGCAGGATGCTCCTTCCTGCTCTGCCACGCCCCTGTTCTGTTTGGCTGGGTCAGACAGATGTTGGTGCTGGAATCAAGTGCCCCATCCCTCCACAGCGCCACCCTGGTTCTCCTCCACTTGAGAAAAGCCCATAGAAATAAACGCCTCTGTGCCTCCTTGTACCAATTCCAGACCTCCAATGGCCGACCAGAGAATGGACATTTCTTCAACAATCAGTGACTTCATGTCGCCGGGAGCCACCGACCTCCTCTCCAGCCCCCTGGGTACCAGTGGCGTGGATTGCAACCGCAAACGCAAGGGCAGCTCCACCGACTACCAGTAAGACCTTTAGGCTCTTCTTCCTCTGGCTAAGCTCATGTCAGCTCATGGGCATGAATACCTAGGGACCAGCTACTGTCCCTCCTGGAAGAAGGCATCCCACTGTGGAAAGGGACGGGAATGAAAGAGCCGATTCCAGGTGGTCCCACAGTTGTTTTTTCCTTTACCTTCCCCCTGGATTGCAAGCAGTGGGGAGTCTCCAGTACTGCAGAGGCATTTACTTCCCCTCCTTTCCCCAAGGAGGGAAAAAGAACAGCCTTAAAGACAAGTACTGCCTTCTACCCCTTTCTTCATTTTCTTTTACTCCTTTGAGCAAGATGGCCAAGTCCATGGATGTCACTTCCGTGGTTTCAAAGAGAGCTTTGCCTGAGGGCCTGTCTCTAGGGCGTTATCGATTGCTTCATTAATGTTTGTGGAATAAATAAGTAGAGGTCATCTCCAGAAACAGTAATAGTAATAGGAACAGTGATATTGTCCTGAAACATTATTTAAATTAGCGTATACCTGTTACATTAAATAGTACTTTCGTTTCTTAGACTTGATGGCTTTTCTTTTGAGTAAGTGAACTCTCACACTTACAGTCAGCTCCTCTGTATCTGTACAAACACCTAGGGAATAAGACAGTGGAACACCCATAGGCACGTTTTGTTTTGTTGAGGCAGCTGCGTGGAATCTTACCCAGATGTGCATTTGAGAGGTTTTCTTCTGTTTAATGAGGGAAAAATCTCAAGGAAGAACCCCGCCTACAGCAGATGTCCTTTCTGCTGAAGTTCACAGGTTAAATTTGGGGAGCACAGTGGCTGGAGGTCAGATGCCCACTAGGAGATGCTATGAGTAATATGTAAGTGATCCCAGATGAGTAAGAGAGTGGACACCCAGGGGACGGAGGGTGGATGTGAGGGCGGAGAGGGTGTCCCTCCGTAGCAGTAACTCCCCAGCAGGGAAACCAAGTGTTTTCTGTGATTCTTTGTCTCAGGCAAGTGCTGACAGAGCCCTTGGCGCCTTCTAAGACCTCTCCTGTCTAAATCTGTGGTTTCCAACCTTGTCACCACCCAAGACCTTCAGGTTTCTCACATGGACCCCAGTTTGCAAATCTTCTGTGGTTCATGGAGACCCTGTTCATGAAGTCATTTTAATGTACTCCAGTCGTATCGGTAAGGCAGAGCTTCTTCACCTGAGATGATCAGCCTGCCTCAGTGAGCAGATACAAGTCTAAACAAAGGGAGTTTTCATCTTCCTGTGCGGCCCATGTGATCTCTCCTGCACCTGAGGTCGAGCTAGAGAAACTCGTCCCTGTGAGGAAATCCAGGGCTCCTGGCTGGTCACCACTGTTCCGGATGCCTGTGACGTGCCTCGGGGCTCCTGAGAAAGTTGTTTTTGCCCTTGAGATTACACTGTTGGGAGGGCCATAACCCCTCCCGTCTTATGGGAGAAGGGAGAGAGGCCCAAATGGTAGTCAGTGCCCCCCAGTGGATGGAGGGGCTGGGGAAAGGTGGAAACTAACCAGGGGGATTTAGAACTCCTTCCTCTGAGGATTTCAGTTTCTACTGAACCACAAGGTGCCACGAACACTGGGTTCTGGAGTCCATGAAAGGAAGGCAGATTTCTGCTGTGACCTAGGGACTCTCTGTGGCCAAACAGGCTTCTGCGTCCCCCAGTCCCAGGCCTCCTTCTGTCCTAATTCCTCAGGCCTTGGGGTTTCCCACCAAACTGAGAGCCAGAGCAGTGCCTCTGAAGAGCCGACTTGGGGCTCTGCTCGGTACTTCTCTTTAGGTACTTTGATTCCCCCTCCCCACCACCCAAACCCAGATATACATGTGTGCACATGTATATTTGATGCTCAGTACATTTTGCATGTGAATAACCTCCATTTATCCAGAATAGTGGGGGGTATGGAGGATGAGGTGTTATAGTTATTTGGATACTCTGGTTAACTTAGGATTTCCAAAAAGGCTGTGTATTCCTAGTTTTCTCAAACAATCGATATGGTAAAATAAATGTCAACCCGCAGACCCTACTGGGACTGTATATAACTCTGATAATCTGGAAAATCAGTCTGAGTTTTACAGTAGGTTCATGGTGGTTTTCTTTTACGGTTTTATGTCAATAGTCAACACTGTGGCTGTTTGAGCTTCTGACTGCTTGGGTTCTGGATAGACGGGGGCCTTCTGTATAAGGATAGGAAGCTATTTTGCATGTCTTAATAGTCACATTCTCTTTTGTTTTTCCAGGGAAAGCATGGACACAGACAAAGATGACCCTCATGGAAGGTACCGTGAACCTGGCCGTTTGAGCCTCAGCGTCCTCACAGCCATTGTCTTTGCATAATCACACACTCCGTTACTTGGTGCGGGTTCCACCCAGGTCCTCGACTGGGGATAAGCGAGGGGGCTGTGAGCCCATGGCTCAAGGTTGTCTCCCCCACTTACCCCCAGCCCTTACGTGTCGTATAAAGATGACCAGGATCAGGGAGGAAGGAAAAGAGATGTGTAACTCTGCTCTCATCTCCAGGGAATCTTGTGTTTATCTTTACCCTATATTTTTTCCAGGTTAGAATACACAGAACACCAAGGAAGGATCAAAAATGCAAGGTAAGCTGGGACCCTCATTCTGTGTATGAACAGCCCTGGCTCTGGCTACTTGGAGCATGGCTGAGGGGGCTCTGCGCGTCTGGTCCCTGTCTAACAGTCCTCCCGAAACTGTCACAGTCTTAGGGAATGAGGACTGGGGTAGGGGCTGGGCTGGATGTGAAGGCCTCTGAAAGGCCTTTCTTTCTTAGCACCATGAAGCTGTAGGCCAGACCTGGGGGTGCCCTGCTCCCTTGAGTAGATTCTGTAACTCTGTCCTTCCTGTCTCCAACCACACCTCCTTTCCCCTTGGAGCCTGAGCTCTCCGGCTGTTAGTCCCCAGGGCCACCTGACGCTGTGTCCTGACACAGAGCTGGGGACTGCAGAATTTGACTGACCAGAAACTTCTGGCCTTTCCCTCATGGACCAGCTTCAGCGAGAGACCCCGTGGTTCTCTTGCTACAGCAGCAGCAGCCAACTCCACTTCCACTGCCCACACACCTCTTTAGGGGGACAGTCACCAATGGCAGGTGCAAACCGGTCAGGGAGAGAGTGTGCCAGCAGAGGCGCCATCCTGCCTCAGCGGGTAGCAGCTACTGGGAGGAAGGCATGTGACATTCTTCAGTGGAAATGCCTGGGGACAGATGTAGCCTCTGCTGCATTGAGCTGGGGTCACGGCTGATCCATGGACGGCAGCGTTAGTTACCTGGTGCCTCAATCAGTGAGTCTGTGACAGGCCGCGCAGACCTCAGAGACAGCTCAGCACAGGGCCTCACTGATGTCTGTCCTGCTCACTTGGCTCTTTGAAACCTCCACTTCCCTCTCTTTCCTTCGCCCCCATCCAAAAACCCAGCTTCACATAGGCTGAGAGGAAAAGAAATGGGGAGAAACGCCAACAAGTCCGTTTACTCTGAGAAGACAGTTTCTGTATTATTTCTCAATCCTGGGGATCAGTGAGCATAGAAACAACTAATACTGACCTGGCAGTGAGGCCACTTTTTTTTTTGGTGCCTTTAGTAGAAAAGTCTATTTTGAAACATTCTGCAGATCCTAAATTTTCCTTGTCAGATGAACATTGAAAACAGTTATAACTTATTTTCACCCCTGTTTCCTTGATGCTGTGTTACAGAAATCCTTTTTCATGTTGTTGTTTAGGGAAGCTCACAGTCAGATTGAAAAGAGGCGTCGGGATAAAATGAACAGCTTTATTGATGAATTGGCTTCTTTGGTACCGACATGCAATGCGATGTCCAGGAAATTAGATAAACTTACCGTGCTGAGGATGGCCGTTCAGCACATGAAAACATTACGAGGTAAGATCCCGGGCTTTACTGTCCTTTACGCCCTTGCTCACAAATGCCGCCACCCTTACCCAGAATGTTCCCGAGTCCCTAAGGGAAATAAATGTTTGTTACTTATAAGCGTGTAGCCTTGAGTAATATGCCTGTCATTTTCAGCCATAGACTTGGGGCCAGAGGAAGCAATTATTGAGCTCATGTGAGCATCAAGATGTGGGTCCACTGTCCTACATCTCCGGAGGGTGGAGGCTGTGTTCTGCGCACAGAACCAGGCTCCACGCACATCTGAGAGGAGACTGCTAAAGTCCCATCTTGCATATGTGTGCGCCCAGACTCCACCCATGCAGGGATAAGCCTCCCACGTGCAGGTGCAGTTAGTGACACAGAAAAGGCAGTTTGTTTTTAAGGGAAAAATTCATCATTGGGAGGAGTGAGTCACTAGTTGATGGCTCTTGAGCATTTTATTGTCAGGAATGAACACTGATGATATTTTCATCTTCCTGGAATTTTCCCAAACCAGATCAACTCTTTATGAGGGAGGCAGTATTTTCCTTCTTTTCTGAGTGTGCGGTGGGTGAGAAGACAGAGGCAGAAATGTGGAAGTGACTTATCCGAACCACAGGAGAAATCTGAACCGTGTCAGGCTTTTTAGTGAATGCTGGTCCTGGAATTTTCCATAGCTAGCCTTGGGCTATTTGAGGAAGTTGGAAAGTGGGCGCTCGCTCAGATCTCTGACCTGCGTGGTGAAAGAATTACGTCTTTGTGTTTCTACAAAGCCACCGAAAGTAAGAAGTAGCCGGTTTTGTCTGACTTTTGATTGTTATTCAGAAATACAAATGTTGTATCCTGTGCTTGGAAAATGGCATTTAAAAATTCATATTAGCAGAGATGAAAGAGATTAAATCGTGATAACTGATTTCTGTTACACTGGAAGGAAAAGAGTGGCAGGTCTCCCAAAAAGCAGGGACGTGGGTCAGTGACGTGTGCCTGGTTAGTTGATAGTTCACAGGCACATTCTGTTTCCCTCCTTCCTGGTGGTACTGGGAGTTGTTCTGGATCATTCCATTTGATTTCTTCACCATTCTACTAACCATTCTGCAGGTTCCAACTCATTTATCGCTGGTGTTTTTCTCTAAGTTATCATTCTCCCGAGAAATGCCAGATTGACAGCCTTTTAAACATAAGGCTTGTGCCCTTTCAGTCCTGGGAGCTCAAATTGCATCCACTGAAGTCATGCATTTCTTCGGGTTGCCAGGCTCATTTAACTCAACCCCAGTGCAGAGGAGCTCACAGCAAATGCCTTCTGCAGTGTGTTTACTCAGGGCCTGGCAGACTAGCTGACTTCCCAAGAACATTCAGAGTGGTGATTTGAGGAACCGCTAGACAACCCATTTAATACAGACCTTGGGAGGAGGGCACCTCCCAGGAGCCTCTGCCCATTTGCTTCTAGAGCTGCCTTCTCTCGTAGAAGCAGGTTTTTAACTTCCTCTTATCACCTCTTGATTTTTGCTAGAACGATAAAAGCAAGCTCGTTAAGTTTCCTGTGGACAACAGCGTCCTCTTTTCGGTGGAATTTGCTTTGGTGTTAGAGGATTCTGTCCAAAGCCAGATCTAGCCCTGTCTCTGTTAAGGGAAAAGAAGATAAAATTTAGATCGCAGGTGGTAGGGACTAGGCCACATCTGGAAGGCTCGAGGCAGTCAGGTGGAGTGAGACATTATTTGTATATAAAGTGTGCCAACTCTCTTTTTTTCCCCTGTAAGGTGCCACCAATCCATACACAGAAGCAAACTACAAACCAACTTTTCTGTCAGATGATGAATTGAAACACCTTATTCTCAGGGTATGTTGCAATTATGGGATTGTTTTACACAACATTTATTTTTACAAATTTCAGTGTTAAGTACCAGCGTGTGGGAATTGGATGTCTCAACATTGAACTTTGTTAGGTGCACGTCCTCTTTTGCGTCTCCACCTTACCTTACCATTTGGACAGGCTTCACATCCCTTCCCTGAGACTCTTCTCTTCCACCCTTGCTCAGGCAAAAACTGAAGGTCTAGGCTACTGCAGCTTTAAATCAGAAGAGCAGAATTTTGTTAGAAATAGGAGGTAATTAGGAATCGCCTTTCTGCATGAGGGTTTTCGAAAGGGACTGAAACTGAGAGCAACTGAGAATTTCTCTCATCCTCATTTAATCACTAGCACAAAAGCATCCACCTAAATCCTTATACCAAAATTCCATCAAAACAACAAAGCTTCCAAAAACACCATGGCCTGAGGAGGAAAATAAGTGGAGGCAATGCTTTCACCCACTCAGCTGCAGGGCTGGCTCCCTCCTGCCAGTCTCTGCAGAGGGGCGGCCGGGGTGGCACCGTGGGAACCTGGCTTCTATGCAGAATGAGGTCTGCTCCCAGGTAGAGTGAGATTTGCTTGGAAATTGAAGGAAGAGACACTGGGTTCAGAAACAGGTCCTCTTGCAAATCGTAAAAAGAAAAATAGAAAAATGTCACTAACAGGCAAGATACCTGCACCCACGTCCCCACAGCCAGTGCTGACCCCGCTTCTCGGCACAGAAGTCTGCAGAGCCCAGAGGTGGGGGCGTCCAGCTGGGTTTGTGCACCCTCATTTTCAGCTCCACCTGGCTTCAGGCCCTCTAAGTCCAGCCTGCCTGCTCACTCCGGTATCCTGCCCACCCCCTCGTGATGTGCTGTGTTAACTGCCAGGAACAGAAGGCCTGATGAATGAACAGAGTTTTGTTTCTTAAGCAGAGCTGGTCCTGGGGGGAGCCTGGTAGGGGTCGGTGTGGTGGTTCAGTGAGGTCAGCAGGAACCGGGCCCTTTCTGTCTTCTCACACCACCCTGCTGAGCTGATGTGCAGCTCTTTTCCTTGTTAGAGTGAGCTGGCTGTGCCAGGTCTGAGTGACCAGACCAGTCAGAAAAAAGGGGCAGGGGCGGTTCTCGGCCAGCTGTCCTTTGTACCAGGAGAGGATACGCCTTCCTGGAAGTCCAATAGTGGGCTGGAGCTTATCCAGAAAGTGTCACCTGGTCACCCTCAGCTGCAAGGCAGGTTACAGAGCATGCATCGAGGTCTTCCAGCCTCCATAGCAGAAGCTGGCAAGAGAGAAGGGGGTTGGGAACAGCACTTGCTGCACACAGTTTCCAAAGCCACGTGCATTTGCTAGATTTCCCTCCAGAAGTGGCTCCCACAACCCAGCACGGAACTTCAGCTGCGGTCTGGCTGGCCTGGGGCTGGAGGGGGCTGGTGCCTGCCTGGCAGTAGAAGCCATCTTATTAGTGTCATGTTTGGGGCGGCTGTAACTCTGCCCCTCCCCAGCAGAACTGTTAGGCCAGGTTTTTCCAGCTTCTCTTTTACCTCTATGAAATCTATTTATTGGATAGTCCTGCATTCCAGCTTGTCATCAGCTATCTTTTGAAGCTTCGCATAACTTGTAGATCTGATCGGCCCGCTTTCTGTCTTTCATTTTCATCCATTCACAGAAAACATTTTAGTACTTACTGTTTCTGCATGGCACTGTCCTATAAACCTCCAATCACTGATAAACAGTGAAGCTGAGCAAGTTTGTAATGGTCCTTTGGTTACCACTGTCAAGGCATACTTGGAGGACCCAACTCTGCCCTCACCTCTCCATCCTTTTCATAAATATGTCCTTCTTCTCAGGGAGGACTTCCTGGAGTTCAGATAGAAACTCTGTCTACAGCCTCTCCCAAGAAATCACCAAGGCCGGCTTCACGTGCAAGCAACCTATGCAGTCCCACGGGGCCTGGCACTTGGTTTAATGCTCCACTGTTGCCATCTTGAAAATTATAATTTTTGAACAGGGTCCCTGCAGTTTCTTCTGTACTGGGCCCTACAAATTGTGTAGCTGGTTCCAATTGTCATACTGGTAACTTGGTGTTTTATAGATAAATATATATACTTGTATATATTTACATATATATTTATATATAAAACAAACTGCTTTTGTAATGACATACTTGCCTTGTTGCTGCTTGGGGATGGAATAAGGATTACAAGGCTACTCAAGTTAAGTACTTCATCTCAGGCTTGCCTTCTCCGGTCTCCTGTTTCCTACAACATCAGCAGTGGTCCGTCCTCCCTGATGGAATTTTCCTCACCTCCCTGACCCATCTTGGTGGCTGTGAAGTGCTATCTAATTCCTTGCCACTTCCTGGGAATTTTCTTCGACAGACGGCAGGCTCCACTCAGATGATGTTTGGACAGTTTGGCAGTGGGAACTGGACTCCCTCTAGTCCTTACCAATGCAGATCTGACTAATTGCTTCTTTACTAAGCGCTTTCAAAATGTCTTTAATAACTGGTGTGTCAGGGAGCAGTCAACCTGATCAGTTTATAATGCCTGGATCCTCTGCCTCCTGTGTTTTGAAAACAAGGCGGCCCCTCGGGCTCCGTGTCATTCATTAGCTAGCACGTCCTCCCTGAGAGCAAGCCAGCCCTGGTCCTCCTGGGCCCCATGGTTCTCATCTCGCTGTTTCCTGGCGGTCTTCTTGGCCCCAGCTCCTCCCCCTAATGGTGTTTATCTGCCGGAGTGAAGCAGTCAGAATGTCTCAAGTCTCTCCTACGGTGACTGCATTCACTGGCCTCTGGAACTGTCTCTCCCTCCCCCAGATGTGCTGGAATCCTCTTGGCTTGTGTCATCTGTTTAAGCCTGGCTTTGCCCAGCGTTTCTTCCAGGTGTCTTCTTCCTGGGCACCTTTTAGGCCACACCACTTCTTTAATGAAAAGCCTCAAAATACTTCTCTTGTTGGGTATAAGATTGTCTGCAAGGCAAATGAAGAAGTTATTAATACCCTCTCTTTTGACAGAATGAGGCTTCCAGCAGATGGTGCTGGGAAGTTGCTTCCCCCTCACTGTCCTCCCTTGCCCTGGGCCCGCTCAGAGGCCGCACTTAGGAAGGAGCATCCCCAGCTTCTTTCTGGCCAGGCGGCCCGCCAGGTCTCTCCCCGTAGTAGTGGTTCTGCTCCCCTCCTCCTCCCTTTCTCTCTGCACAAGCACGTGCACCGTTCTGTTACCTTCTCTCATGAGAATTCATTTCCTAGTTCTTTGGATTAAACTGCATCCCAGAGGCCCTTTTGTGGAAAAGAAGAGTCTCTCTAGATTCTTTCAAAGAACAGACTGCAGACCAATGAATTAAGCAAGATAACAACCCACTGTGTGTCAGGCCAGGGTAGCGGAGTACAGAGCAAGTTCACGGCAGAGTGGGGACCGCCCTCCCCGGCACCGGGAAGGCCCCCACAAGAGCTGAGTGGTTGTCCATCTGGAAAGTCACGGATGAGGTTCGGTCACATGTGCACAAAATATCCTAAGCTCTCAGGTACCATAGCTTCAGTATTTATCTGCTTCAGTCTATCTGACACACACTGTCTGTCTCCACACCTGTCTTTATCGGAACTTTAGGTTTTTACTTGTATTTAGAATGAAGAAGAGGTAAAAAGAATCTAAGGGGAAATTTTTGCTTTGCTCTTCTTGTCTCACTCATGATATGAACAGCCCAGCCATGGATCAAGGGATAATATTTGAGAGCAGTCGTTACCAACCCTGCATACGTTGGGGCACTTTAGGGTGAGGGTGAATACAATACCAGTGATCCAGCCCCATTCCAGACCATCTGCGTTATAAAAAAAAAAAAGCAAACACCACTTCACATGTTGAGATCTATTCCAGAGAGCTCCCTGGAAAAAGAGGTGTTCAAGTTGAGGGCAGATGGCACTGAGATATTGGCGAGGGGGTGGAATTCTGATCTTAAAGTTTCCTTCCAATCTCAGACCCTATGATATTACTGAGTTATCATTAGAGCAATGAAATAGATTTCTTTGGACCTTCGTACAATCAAAGGAAAATTCTTAAGCTGAATTCTGCTTTGAAACAGTTCTTAACTTTAATTGGACTTCCTCTGTAATCATTAGATGATGCATGTGTATATCCACCTTGGAGGGAATCTCATCACTCTCATAAGGCGTTTGTTTTAAGCGTCCTGTTCTCAGGATACCTGTGAAACTGTCAGTGCCTGCAGTCCTGTGCTTGGGATACGTAGAAAACAAATCTGTATTTGCTGTCAGAGTGATGATAAATCCTGTTTCCTAAAGTATGGTAAATTGACTATCCATTTCTCCTGATTAGGCAGCAGATGGATTTTTGTTTGTCGTAGGATGTGACCGAGGGAAGATACTCTTTGTGTCAGAGTCTGTCTTCAAGATCCTCAACTACAGCCAGGTACTGCTCCTGTTCCTGCTGGTGGTGGGCAGCCTCACAGCAGCCAGAAAGGTCACCCACTTTTCAGAATAATTATGACAGACGAGTCACATGTGAAATGCATATATTGCTCCCCAACCCCGTCCTTCCAGAAAATTCTTAACACAGAGATGAATATAACCTCAGAAAACTCCTTTAATGTGTTTTTTTCCCCCATTGGAAAATTTGACTCTGATCTCAGCATTATAACTGTCTTATTGCTGCAAGATAGATATCGCACAGTGTAAGGATAGGAGGGCAAGGGGCCCTCCGACAAGGAAGATGTAGGCAGACAGTACAGTATCAGGGACTAAGCAAAGTGGGAATCCACCCAGTAGTGTCTGCAGTGATGTGTCACTTTTTAGCTCTGTCGAACCTCAGCTTCCTCTCAAAAATAATTGTAATAATCCATACCTTTTATGACTGATAAAATGACTGTTTGATAAGATGACCATCGATAAAAGCTTCTAGAGCACAGCTGTTCACCTATTGTGTCCCTAGAGTTTTTACTCATTATTTTCATTCATTCCCTCCTTCACATGCTGGTATTTGCATGGAAGCTTGGTAAGGCAGAAGAATTGAAGTCTCAAAATAACATTTATGTAAATTAGAATCAATGTCAATGTAGTATCTCCAAATGTCTTGCTCTTTCTAGTCTTAGAGCAGAGTTATGGAGGAAGTTACTCAGGTCTCTGCTAACAGATTAGGCCCCCGAGGCTTGTAGTTTGACGCAACTTGTTTAAGAACCGAGAGGCTTAACAGAGTCAGAGTCAGAATCAGAGCTCACGGCCCGCATTCCTCCCTCTGACGTCTTAGAGGGGAATTTGTGGGCATCAGAAATAAAAGAATACATACGGCGGAAAGATATTTGCCTGAGAGGAGAAAGATTTATGTAGTTTTTCTTTTATGTTATGACCTTTTTCCTTCATGTGTTTTCAGCTGTGTGGGTTTTTTTGTTGTTGTTTTTGTTTTTTGGTTTTAGTGGGCACTGGGGATTGAACTCAGGACCTCGTGCATGCTAAGCACACACCCTACCACCGAGCTATACACTGCCCCTCATGTGTTTTCAAAACCACACTCTGGGTGCCCCATTCATTATGTCTATATCTAGGCAAAGTGATTGGACTTGTGCACACGTTCACATGTGAAATATTTGAAACCCATGCTTAAAAATGCAGAATGAAGGCAAAGCACTTGTTAGAAAGTTTATATTCCACGTGCCATTGACTTGTCATTTTTGATGATACCTTCCCACAGAATGATCTGATTGGTCAGAGTTTGTTTGACTACCTGCATCCTAAAGATATCGCCAAAGTCAAGGAGCAGCTCTCCTCCTCTGACACTGCACCCCGGGAGCGGCTCATAGATGCAAAAAGTGAGTACGGAGCCCCACAGTGGGGTTGCTGGCCCCGGCCTGGGTCCCTGCCTTTCCGCCCTTTACCTGGCTCACAGGGGCCATCTTTGGCTGCATGGAGTTATTTGTGTTGTGTTACTTTGTGTTTAGTTCTCTTTTGTTTTACATAAAGAAGAAAATTCAATGTCCACGTCCATGAAAGGAAAAACAGCTACTTTGATTTGATTCTTTACGATTTGTAGTCACTTTTGTTTTTTTTTCAGAATCTAGAAATTCCCAATTGTATGTTCCTGAGTTAAAAGGGTTCACATCCCTTTGGTTTGTTCCCCCCGAAGAAAAACCACCTCTGTTTATCTGAGTTGCACCCATGCAGTCTCCTAAGATAAAAATAAGGAAACTTCAAGTGTAAATATGACATTTCATCGACCAAAAGTGGTTCCTCACTAGATTAGCCGTCCCTCCCAGCTTCCTGCTCCTGCACCCCATCCCGGGTGAGGCCCCAGGAGAGCTCTCCTCCAGTCCCATGTCGGGCTGTGGCTCCAGCAGTGAGGAGCGTAGACTCGAGTCAGGCACTGGGCTCATATCTTGGCTCCACCGTTTACTAGCTGTGTGACCTTGAGCAAGTAACTTAACCCCTCTGTGCTTCACCTTCCTTAGCTTCCTTATCTGCAAAATATTTACCTGTTTCATTGTGTTGTGAGAATTCAGTATGCTAATAACATAAAGCACACAGGACCATTCCCAGCACACAGCACAACATGGTGTTCACCCTGCCCAGTGCCATCATAGTCTAACTAGTTTCCCGCTTCCAAACTCTGTTGTAATCTCTGGAAGGAAATGCCACCAGGGGAATCTCCTTAAACCACCCTTTTCACTCTAGTACTCCCCTGCCTCCTATAAGTACAGCGAGTCCCAGGTACATGTTGCCCTTTATAGTCTGGCCCCTGGCAACTTCTTAGTGGCCTCGAGAGAAAAGGATGAATGCTGTTGGTCCTTGTCTTTCAGGCTCTCACCATATAGTCAGGGAGACAAGGAGACAGCACCACGCATAATAGGTGCAGCCAGAGAAACAGGACCAGGCATAGAGAACGATGATTATTAATTCTCATGTGGGCGTGGGGACAGGCATCGCAGAGCAGGTGACAACCCCAGGTGGGTTTGAAAAGATGAATTAATGCTTGCCAGGGAGGAAATGCTTGCCCTTGTGACGAAGGGAGGAAAAGAGCAGAGGGAACGATTTGTGGTTGGGCGCGGAGGTGTGGTGCTGTGGCCTGCTTGTGCTGTCGGAGCAAAACCTGCAGGGGAGGGGAGGGCTGGACCACGAAGACCTTTTCATCCATGGGGACAGTGAAGGGCTCTGAGCTAGGAGGGACAGACCGGGGTTGGCTTCCGGGGAGGATCATTGAGTCAGCAATGCAGGAGGTAGGTTGGCAGGGTGAGACCCCGGAGGAGGCCTGAGCAGTAGCCACTCCTCTGCTGGTTGCTGCCATGGTGGGTAGTGGGGCACTCGTCACCCCAGACACGATCTGTAGCCCCAGCTTTTGCACTGACTAGTAGCCAGGCTTCTGTCTGGATCATAGTCCTACTTTTCCTCCAGAGTCTCTAATTCAGTTGGTCCAGAACTGCACTATGGAAACACAATTCAAACCATAAATATGAGCCACAAACATGATTTTAAATTTCCTGGTAGCCACCTTTAAAAAAGTAAAAATGCAAAATTAACTTTAATATTATATTTTATTTAACATGCTAAATCCAAAATGAGGTCTTTTACATTCTTTTTTTGTGGGGTGGGTACTAAGTCCTTGCAATCCTGTGTGAAGGTGAGCTGTGCGTGTGAATACAGCCAGACCAGCCACAGCTCAATTTAATAGCTGCCTGTAGCTAGTGGCTGCCATGCTGGGCAGCACGGACCTCGTATGGGGTCCAAGAACCTGCAGGCTGATACAGCACCCGGGGTCCTGCTTCCTCCTTTCCATTCCAGTGTCCAAGTCCCAGTCCACGTTCTTCCTCCTCTGGGAAATGGCGATTGTTTCTGCCATGTACTGGGCACTAATCAGTCATCCATCACGTTGTGTTATCATTAATCTTTTCACGGTGAACTTCTGTTTCTCCTTCTCAGCAGTCTTCTCCTGCTGGATGTGGGAACCCCGTGTGTCTTTCTTTTTACTCCCAGAGCACCTGGTCTGTTCACCCAGTAGCTGCGCGCCATGTGGTCTGTAAGCATTCCAGATCCACAGCGCTCCCGTCTGTGTCGCACCTAATACACCCTAACCTGAGCAGTAGTGTTATTTTATGCTGTCATGAAAGAAAAGGCTTTCTTCAAGGGCACACTCCCCCTCCTGACAGACAACACTACCCTCAGTTTATCACATTTTGTGTATTGATTTGCAGCTGGACTTCCAGTTAAAACAGATATAACCCCCGGGCCATCTCGATTATGTTCTGGAGCACGGCGTTCTTTCTTCTGTAGGATGAAGTGTAACAGGCCTTCAGTAAAGGTTGAAGACAAGGATTTCCCCTCCACCTGCTCCAAGAAAAAAGGTAACCACTTAACAGTTCTTTAAGTTCTATGACAGGTGAGGCCAGCTTTCTACATCGGAGCGCTCAGCAGGGTGTGGGTTCAGAGCGCGGGTCCCAGGACGCAGCCGGGACCCCACAGGCCCCACCTCAATGAGGGCCTTTGGGGAGGAGGGGGGAATTGGACGACCTTGATGGTGTCAGATGACAGAGGTTCGTGGGAAGGCTTCCTCTGTTTAAATTCCATTTTAATGTGGTTGAGAAAGTGTCCTCTCGGTCACAGAGTACAGCACCCACCGATGCGCCAGAATCATTCTCGCTAAGTTCCCAGTGCCTGCAGGTCACTAAGTGCAACAGACATTTTCATTTTTCTTCCATCATGAAGTGTTCCCTTCCTTAGGATTCAGTGAAACCACTTTCTTCTTCGTCTTCTCTGTCCTCTCCCACTCAGGCTCTCTTCCTGGTTCCTTTGTTGGCTCCTCCTCTTCTGTCCCTGGCCTTCTTCTCTTAAGAGGAGCGGATGTACACCCGAGCCCCATAGGTAATGTCATCTACTCCCTTTGCTTTCAGTGCCATTTATATGCTGATAACTTCCAAGTTCTTATTTCTAGCCCAGTCTTCTCTTTTGACTCCACATTTGTAAATTAACTGCTTATTTTATCTACCTGCTTAGTACTCTCAAGGGCATTTCAAATGTGACCTGTGTAGAAGTAACCACCTGGGATTCCCCTTGGATGTAAATGGCACCACTGTCCCTCCGGTTCTGCATGCCAGAAGCCCGGCAGGCACCCCACCCCATTTCTCTCCCTCCCTCCTGATCTAGTCGGTTACAAAGTCTTGCCGCCATGAATTGCTCCTGTAGAAGTTATTGGAAGTTATCTGAAATGTTTATCCATCTCCACGTTTGCTGCTGTTACTAGATCCAGGCTACCCTGGACCTCGTAGGTCCAGGGAAGTAGGCTCCTCATGCTTTCCAGCCCTCTGCACAGCCGGAGTGGTCTTCCTAAAAGCACATCTTTGTGTCAGTCCCCTGCTTAAAATCCTTCCGGTGCCAGTGCAACCCCCTCCGCCCCATACATTCAAGCCATGCTGACCTCCCTCCAGTGTCTCCAGCCCGTTTCTACCTGAAGTCTCCATACGTGCTGTCACCTCTGATGGGAATCCCCCTTCTCCCTACCAGCTCCCGTCCCTGAGCTCACTCCAGCTCATCCTTTAGAGTGGACCTCCGTGTCGGTCACTCCCTCCCTTAGGCTGCCTTACGTCCGCTTGTAGCACTGCAGGTTTTCTAACACATTCTTAACCATTGCAGCTATGTAGATATTTGTATGAGTATTTGTTTGAAGTCTCTCTACTGTATAAAACTGTAAATTCCACAAATGCATGTCTGATTTGTTTTTCACTGTTTCCCAGTAACTAGCACACACCCAATGCTAGGTAAACACTCCGTAAGGATGTGTTTCCTGTTGAAATCCACAGGTGCTCCGCACTTAATGTGTCCTGAATTGAAATCTTTTCTCCCTCTCCTCTAAAACATACTCTGTATTCTCCTCCCTGAATATTGACCAGTAAATTGTACCAGTAACCACTCAATCCGAAAAAGTTGGAGTCATTATTTTCTTTTTTTCATACCATATATTTTGATATTCATACCAAATCCCAACAGTTCTAGCTCAGAAATTTCTCCTGCATCCTTACCGACTTCCTCCTCATCTTCACGGATCTGCCATCGCAGTCCTCAGTGTCTCTTGCTGTATTATTGTCCTTCTGATTTTTTACTGTCTTCCAGTTCACCCATCACTCAGCTCCTAGAGCATCCAAATCATGAAGTGATTTTGCTGTTTCCCCACTTAAATGCCTTTGGAAGCTCTCCATTTCCTATCTGAGAAAGGTTAACACATTTGTGAGCAAAAAATCCAAGGCGCCTACAGTCTGCCCCTCCGCCTTTCTGACTCTACCCCCAGCACCTCCCTCTTCACTTCAACCGCATGGAGCTCTCTGCTGTTTCTTGGACAGGATGCCCCTCTGTGCCTGTCTATATTCTCGGCCTTTACACATTCTGGTCCCTTAGCCAGTGCTCGTTCTTCTTGGTCCACGCCCCACATTGTTCCCCTGGGCAGCCTTCCTCTCCCCAGGTAGATTTAGATAGTCCTTCCTTGGTGAGCGTCATGTCCTTTAGGTATAACCAGGTCTACAAAGCACGTATGACACTAGATGACACCTATTTTTCTGTCTTCTCACTGGATGCTTGCTTTTGGACAGTAAGACCTTGTTTTTTTCTTTTTTTATATTTTGACTCCCTGCCTACATCCCAACTCACCCCGGGCTGCCTGTGCCCCTGTGCCCCAAAGCCCCACTGACACTAACCACGGGCTTCGCTTTCTAGCAGATCGAAAAAGCTTCTGCACAATCCACAGCACAGGCTATTTGAAAAGCTGGCCACCCACAAAGATGGGGCTGGACGAAGACAGCGAACCAGACAACGAGGGGTGCAATCTCAGCTGCCTTGTTGCAATTGGAAGACTGCACTCTCACGTGGTCCCGCAACCGGCAAACGGGGACATCAGGGTGAAATCTATGGAGTATGTCTCCCGGCATGCAATAGATGGGAAGTTTGTTTTTGTAGACCAGAGGTAAGAGTCTGTATATGACCCTTGAACAATGATGGTAGGGGATTTTCAACTCTGAGTAAAGCAGAGAGAAGACAGGGCCATCAGCTGGCTTTCTTAAGTATAGAGAGAAGGAAGTGATGGGTAGCTCTGTTGAAAAATGAGAGCCAGTGAGATATCATCATAAATACAGAGATTTTTTTTCCATGTCATTCTTTGGTATGTAGAGACAGTTAAGTGGGGTGGTTTGATGTCCTTGGGTGAAAGAGAGAAGTAGTAGGCTTAGCAGCTGTCTGAATCTATGGAATGTTCCCAGGCCATTCCTGTGAGTGGAATTCTGGCATGTGGGACTTGGGAAAGATTTAGTCCTGATCTGTCCAGTACAGTAAGTCATTGGCTATGGCAGCTTCATATGGTGATTTACGTCTTTATTTAATCAATTAAAATTAAATCAAATTTAAAATTCATTTCCTCGGGCTCACTGGTCACATTTCAAGTACTTATTAGCCACATGTGGCTAATGGCACAGATATAGAACATTTCTGTCATCACAGAAAGTTCTATTGGACAACACTGACCTCATCCGATCTTATTTCTTATGGTTGAGGAACTGAGGCGCCGCCTGAAGACTGGGCCTCCTCCAGGATTCACACACAACTAACTGACAGTAGACTTGGGCTAAGAACCCAAATATCCCCAAATCTCCACTGTTCTGTGCTGCCTTCTTAAGAATATTCACAGGCTAATAATTTTTCTGACTACCAGGAGTAGTTACTAAATACTGGAAAAGGACACAGCCACCCCTCAAGGCCCTCGTGGGCCCCACTGCTGGAGCCTCTGGTGTCTGGTCGTCCTGATAAAAAGTAGGCAGTCAATTGGAGAAGCTTTGCACTGGGGTTAAGAGTTCTACCACATTTGTATCTAATGCACTTAACCACTTTTAAACCTCCTATAATTTGATTTCTTGTGATAACAACCCCTTTGAAAGGATTCTCTGCTTTCTTTCTCTGTTTTTATACCCTTGGTTGAAGTCAGTTTCATGGTGGAGCAGACTACTTCTTAAGCCTTCCTTCTGAGCCCACCCAGCTTTGACTTGGTGTTCATTGGCTGTTAGCAGGTTTCATCCACTGCGGAGATGCTGTTAATCTTCTGAATGGCTTTTTCTTTTCACTTTGTTTTTTTTCAATTCCGTTTTAGGGCAACAGCTATTTTGGCATATTTACCACAAGAACTTCTAGGTACATCATGTTATGAATATTTTCACCAAGATGACATAGGACATCTTGCAGAATGTCACAGGCAAGGTAAGCTGGGCTGTATAAAAGGTCTTAAGTTTAAAGTGTCCCCCTGCTTTGAGACGAGTTCACATAACCTTCCAGAGAAATCTGCCCCTATGATGTGGGAGTCAGCCAGCCCAAGAGTCTTCAGGACAAAATATCTGTGATGTGAGGAGGTTGCTGACTCCCCCAGGCCCCTTCTATCCCCTTACAGGTAACCCTACCCCCACCCCAGCTGCCTAGCAGACCTCTATACATAGGCCAGGCCCCTTTCTGGAAGGCAGCCCTTGTTCAGAGGATTTACCTGGACTCTGTAAAGATTTAGTATATCCCAAATGAATCTAATTCCTTTCCACAAAGCCCTGCACTGCCTCCTGTATTTCCCTCTTGGTTAGTGGCACGGCCACATTCTCCCAAGAGAGAAACCAACAGTGACTCCCTCCTTGATTTTTTTCCTCCATCAGACCGTTCATTCATCTCAGACACACATTGCCAAAGAGGCTCCTTTCTGCCACCTCTATTGCCAAGACCCTGGTTCAGCCTCTGAACCTACCTGATAATTGTGATGGACCCCTCACAGGCCTCCCTGTTCCCTTCTGCTCCCAGTCCATCCTCCATCCTTCACAGTTATCCCATTTATGCTCCGATAGATTGAGCCTGATCATGTCACATCATGCTTAAAACCTTCTGCCTTTATACTGAAGTCCAAACACCTTTAGCAGGTGTCTAAGACCTTCCGTCTCCTGGCCCCGCCCCACCTCCCCATCCCTGCCTGCAGAGGTCTTGTGCTGCAGCCACACTGACCATCTCACCGTTGCCTGCTCCACCAGGCCCTGCTACTCCCCGGGCAGTGCTAGTTCTTCCTTCCCTCCTTTTGGCAAACTGACACTCATCCCTCAAGGCTCTGATCTCCTCTGCATAGCTGTCCCTCATTCCTCTCCTGAGGGCAGGAGGCCTATTCTGTCTCCTCTTTTGTCTCCAGTGCCTGGCACATGAAAGATGCTTGTCACATGAAAGAATGAGGTTTCCATGGGTGTGTGACCTCTCTGAATCCGGAAGTCCTAAAAATGCTGGGCTGCCCTCAGGCTTCGTGACAGGAAAATAACATGGGCCCTGTGGACAGTGCTTTCTCACTGTTGGGAGTTCACCTCATAGCTGATTCTAGGTAGATATCTAGAGTGCACTCAGTTATTCCTCGGGGCCTTTCATTCCCTCTGAACAACAGTGACAGATGCACAACTGAATTGGAAGGCTCCGAGTCAGACGCTCAGAAACAGCCTGTTCTCTGAAGTGCCAGCTCCCGGGGCTTATTAAAGAGTGATGACGTGTGCACCTGCACACACTTAGGGTTTGGTGAGTTTAATACGTTGGTCTGAGGAAATAACGATGTTCATGGTTTCTTTCTATTTTCAGTTTTACAGACAAGAGAAAAGATTACAACTAATTGTTATAAGTTTAAAATCAAAGATGGTTCTTTCATCACACTACGGAGTCGGTGGTTCAGTTTCATGAACCCTTGGACCAAGGAAGTAGAATATATTGTCTCCACCAACACTGTTGTTTTGTAAGTGTTCTTCCATATCAGAAGCCCCCTTGCTTAAAAGAGAAATGCCTTGGGCTCCTTACTTGGGAAAGGGGGTACAGGCAACAGCCAGTTTCACATCCTTTACTGCCGTCTTGCTAATACCCAGTGAAGCCTCAGGACTGGCAGAAGCCAAAAGATATGTTCACAAATGAAAAGCTTCAATACTCATGACACTCAGGCCCCCGGCTGGTGGACTTGCTCCAGGAGACAGCACCATTTCCTTCCCGATAAAGCAGTCAGCCTTTGAATTCTGCCAGCCGGGCCACCCACTGGCACCGCTGTGGAGGGGGGGCTGGATAGCCCACGAAAGGCACAGCAGCCACACTGGCCTTGGCGGCCAGAATGTCCCCTCCAAGGCTGCCACCTGCGGGGTGAGCCAGGAAGGGAAGGACCTCCTCTTTGGCCTGCTCCCCTCATCTCCTTCCCCATTTTCTCACCTCAACCTGTAGTTAGAGCTGACTGAGGGGCCGGAGCTGGGTGCACCGCAGGCTGGCAGGAGAGGAAGCCTGGCGACAGAGGCAGGGGCTGCCGCGGTCACCACCTCTGCCGGCCTGTGTCCCATGTGGATTAGGAAGGCCCAGGCAGGCAGTGAGGCCAAAGGCCGGCATGCTGTCTGTCGTGTTATCAGACAGCAAGGAGCCCTACTGAGCCACTCAGACAGACACTTCATTTTCTGGCCCGTCCAGGTCCAGAGTGGACACTGGACACCGTGGCCGAGGTGAAAGGTGCACAGTTCTGAGCAGTCCTGACTCACGTTTCCTTGTTGCTGGGATGTTCACAGAGCCAACGTCCTGGAAGGCGGGGACCCAACCTTCCCGCAGCTCACAGCATCCCCCCACAGCATGGACAGCATGCTGCCCTCTGGAGAAGGTAACTATGTGCTGCCAGGGCACCCGGGGCTTGGCCGTGAGAAGCTGCTTGTGGCCAGCACACCCTACCCCCCAGTGTTCAGGGTCCCTGGCCACCATATTCTGTGCAACAAGGGCGGCCTCGCAAGGATGATCACTCAGGATGTTATCATCTCACTTTCTCTGTTGAGCCTGGAAGGCCGGGAACTCATCTTTGCCTTCCCTGAGGTTGCCTGGACCCTGGAAGCCCTTGAAATGGCCAACTCCTTGCTCCTCTTGTGCTTTCGTCCCTCTGTGTTGCCCAGTGGCTGTGCTGTGACATGCTCTCTGGTGACAGTCACTGGCTCCTGTGGTGGGAGGAGGGGGTCTGCTGGTCCCTGAGGGTGTGCCATGCCTGGGGAGGGGGGCTCTCGGAACTGCCTCTGCTTGCATGGCTTCAGTCCACAGCTCTCTCCATCGATGAAGCCTATATCCAGTTTCTCTCCAGAGCCACCCGGGGTCCCAAAGGCAGCTAAAATTCAGCAGATCCAAATCGGTTCTCTGCACTCCCTCCATCTGGTTGGTTAAGCCAGAAACTGTCTCCTGCTCATCTCCCACTACATCTAAACACGAAATCCAGCCCCTTCTCTCTCTCAGACCTCTCTGTCACGGCTGTTGCTACTTAACCCTCCTTATCTGTTGCCTGGATTACCGCAGATAACCTCCTACCCCTAGTCTCACTCTCGCGCTCTCAGCCCCCATTCTCCACTATAGTTCATTCTCCACTCAGTGAACTTCTTAATAACCCAAATCTAAGTCAGTGTTTTCTGGGTCAAGTCCTTTCATGCTCCTTATCCTCTGCGGATACTATTTAAATCTGTTAGTGTGGCATCCAAGGCCCTTCATGGTCTGATTGTACCTGCCTCTCTTTTCATCTGTCACTCCCTCCTCATCGGTCATGATAAATTTCTTGGAGTGCTCTCCCCACTTGCCCTGCCTCAGTGCTCTTGCAACCATTGGTTACAGTGCCTGTAATGCTTTCCCCTCTTTATCTCTCTGCCAACCTAATTTATACTCCTCTCTCAAGATTCAGTTCAGAGTTGAGCTCTTCCAGGAAGTTGCACCTGGCCCTGGAGAAGCTGGGTGCCTCGTGCTGACCCATCAAACTTATCACCCTTTGCTCCAGCCATTGTTTATCTTGTGTGTCTCCACATTAGATTGTGAGCTCCCTGAAAGCAGGGGTGCTGACTTATCTCTGTGACCCTTGCATGCAGCAGAGTGGTCTTCAGTAAATGTATGTTGAGTGCATGAGGAATTACAGGCTTTATATTAACCTCTGATCCTGGAAGGAAACTTGGCTTTTTCCTGCTGGAATGCCTTTTCCTAACAAGCTATGGCTCTAATGTCCCTCAAGGCACAACCCAGAGTTGAACTTCAAGAGGATCATGGGATGAATTGGTTTTAACATAGTAGTATTTCTTCCTCGGTTTTCCCTTTCCCACTCTCAGATTCCTTTGTTGCAGGTGGCCCAAAGAGGACCCACCCCACTGTTCCAGGGATTCCAGGGGGAACCAGGGCTGGGGCAGGAAAAATAGGTCGAATGATTGCTGAGGAAATCATGGAAATCCACAGGCAAGTAACACCTTCTCCTTGTTCCCTTAAACCAGTGTTCTCAACCCCAGGGCATTTTGCCTCCCAGGGGATGTTTTGTTGACGTCTGGAGAAAATTTCTGGTTGTCACAACTGAGTGTGAGGTTGCTGCTAAATATCCAGTGGATATCCAGGAATGCTGCTCGCTAAACATTCCACAGTACACAGGACAGCCTCCCTCACCCCCCATCCCTAACAAAGAATTTTCCAGTCTCAAATGTCAATAGTGTTGAGACTGAGAAGTTCTGCCTTTAAATAAAAAAGCTAAACCCAAACAGGCCAGAGCTATAGGGTACTCTTTGGGAGGCTCAGCTTTCTTGTTACTTTGTACGTGACACAAGGAGCTTCCCAGTGAGGATGGATGAACATAACATTACAGGGTGGCAGGAGTGGAGCCAGGAATTGGTGTCATCTGGGCATTAATAGAGAACATTAGCTGCTTCTAATCAAAAAGCTGCCTAGGGCTAGTAGGAGAGACCAGGCTTATCAGCTAGTAATAGAAGCCCCCTTGGGTGGGACTTCTTTCCCATATGAAAGAAAAGCAGCTCTGAAGCAGTTTACTTGACTTTGAGTCCTGGGCCTCTGCTTAGGGGATTCATTTAATTTCCTGGTCTCTGTTGATTTAAGCCATAAAAGGGAGGCAATGTCTAGCTCCCCCAGATTGCTCTAGGATTGAGAGAGAACTCAGGGAAGTTCCTAGAACAGACACTGACATACAGTGAGTGCCCAAAAATTATGAATTAAATCTAAGGCTTTAAGAGCAGTCATTGAGAGGGAAGCAGTTATTATAAGTCCATTTGAATTTGGAGAATGGAGAAGGGTGGTAATGAGGTCCTTAGGAATGCAAACTTAATGGAACATAATCATGGGAAAAGGAAAAATTACTATTCTCTGCTGCCACTGAATTGATTCTCTCAGGGGAATCGGAGGCTGGCCTTTTGTAGTTGGCCACAGAGGGGCTCTTATCCCGGTGGGTAGCACAGTTCTGTTCCAACCCTACAGTAACGACAGATGTGGCTGCTTGAGTCTACTTCAGGAAGGAGCGGTGGGGGTAGTGTGCCGAGATAATCTGGTGATCAGCCACTGCGCCCTGTGCTTTGCTTGAGGCCATCCATGCACAGTGTAAAACAGTCCTTGAAAACTCAGACCTTATAAATCTTTGAGAAGACTATTTTCTTTGTGATAATAGAAAATAAGGGAGAGTGCATGGGCTGAAGCAAGCAAGAGAGGAAGGGTTTGAGGTTGGCCTTAGTTGGGATTTGTGATGAACATGGGTGTTCCTTCGTTCTTGAAGACAGGCACACGCTGGAGTGGGCATGTGAGTGGCATATTCAGGGTAAAAAAGCAAGTTACCTAACTGGGCAGCCTCTTTGGAGGAAGGAGCCAAAGCACTGTGATGGGAGATTGCTAAGAATCCTAGGAAATGATGCTGAGCAGTTTAGACTGGAAGAAAACTGTAAGACCCCTTTCATTGTAGGATGCTAAGCAGGTGACCCAAGCGTTGTGGAAGTTGGAGTAGGAAGAGATGAAGGTGAGCATGCTTAATAACCCAGGAATGAGGCCCATCCTACAGTGATGATAGTGTCCAAAAGAGAAGTCAGTAATTTAAGGACTAGGTATTGGAGATGAAATAAGTCGTGATGAGAAGGCAATTCCAAGATAAGGGAACCTGGGGAAATAGTGGTTTCATCGATGTAGGTAGGGAAAGGTGGGAGGCATTAGCAATTTTTTCAATAAGCAGTTAGTAGTCCTTCGTGTGGGTGAAGAATGCCTGGTATATAGTTGTATTTTGCCTTTGAGAAGCTTATGATCCAGGGGAGAGAGAAATTTTGTTTATTCACAAATTTATAGGGGTAGGCAGTATAGGCCAAAAGCCAAGAGACTGCTGGGTAGTGGAGGGGTCCCTGGGAGACCAGAAGGTGCATTCATCCATGTAGGTGCTAAGCCTGGTGGTCGTCACACAGCTGCCACCCAACTCTCACCAAACTCTCGCTGCAGTGCCAGGTCATGGCTTCCTTTCCTGAGGTCCCTCAGCCTGACAAGAGTTGATGTGGATTTCCAGTTCTAAGTCTCTCCCTCTGTAAAACCAATTATGCTGAGAAATAAGAGCTGAGAAGGGCTTGGACCCATTTTTCATCACCTGTTGCCTTAGAAGGTGGTGACGATGAAGACTGCCCCTGCCGGGTGTGGATGAGCCGCCCCAGCAGCCCCCATCCCCGAGTATTCACGAGCTAAACAGTGTGTGTAGGGTAGTGAGTGAATCACTTGCTGGGGATTCTAGGTCGTGGTATCAAACATATAGGTTGAACTTCTAAAGTCCCACCAACTCTAAGATCTGGATTCAGTGAGGAAATAAAACTGTCTACTTACTTGAAATACATAACCTGAAATCAAAATCCTAATCTGAGGGTTTTGTTAGTGAGACGCTTGACTGTAGGATCTGCATTCTAGATCAGGTGCCTCCAGGATAAATCCAGCTTCTCACCTGTTTTTGTGAATAGTTTTACTGGAACACAGCTAGATCCACTTATGTGCACACTGTCCATTGCTGCTTTCAGGCCACAAAGGCAGAGTCCAGCAGTTGTGACAGGGACCACACGGCCTACAGAGCCTCAAGTGGTTACCATCTGGCCCTTTACAGATGAAGTTTGCCAGTCCCTTGTCTAGGTCTTCATCCTTCTTTTCACCCCACCCCTCAACAAAACCATACACACTCCCCTGAGAAAAAGGAAAGGCAATGTAACTAACTCCTCTTTTCTCTGACAGGATAAGAGGGTCATCGCCTTCCAGCTGTGGCTCCAGCCCACTGAACATCACAAGTACACCTCCCCCTGATGCCTCTTCTCCAGGAGGCAAGAAGGTAGGGCTGATGACTTAGACTAAGGCCCTTCTTCATCTAGAGAGCTCTTGCCCAAGTTCTGAAGTGTTGGAAGTGGGCGTGTATCACTGTAATTCTCCTTGAAGTAAACGCACCTGTGTTAGGCTAGGTGCAAGGCACACCAGTGACTTCCTTTAAGGACGGATTTATTCCACGTGAGTGGGGGAGGGCAGAAAGGGATCATTCTAAGGCTTGGGGAGCTATCAGTCCATCGCATGGAGAGAGGAATTCAAGAGCTCCCACGTGGGAAGGATTAGTGAGTACCTTACATAGGAAAGTATCTAGTTGTCTGCAAGGAGTTTCTAAGGGAGAAAATATCACTAATGCCTAATCCAGGCCCTGGAAACAATACCACCAGCAGTGCTTTGGAAAGCAAGTCATGCTTTTGCAGCTGCAGAATACTTGGGGATCTACTGCCTGGGGCTTCCTGTCATGTGACAGCATTGGGTGCAAGTAGCTTATCAGTGGTTAGCCCTCATGAAGAATTGGCCAGAAGACTACACTATAAATAGGCTTAGAAACCAATAATCTGTTTTCACCTTTGCCAGAGAATTTACAAATCTAGGCCCCTGTTAACTGTAAACCCCAATTCTATTTATAGTGCCTGATGTTAATGTAGGTTAGGATGACCCAAGGGCCAGAATCTTGGGACATACTCTTCCTTCCCCATCTCCCAAAAGATACGTACAGAGAAAGAATGTTAGTAATTTACATAGATCGGACTTCTAGGGCACACATTATGCCAAAAGGAGGACATGGGTTTTCAAAACGGGGCTCCTCAGAGGCTTAGGTTACCAGGGGCTGTGGCACTGCCAGGTGGGATGGGGCGGGGCAGCTGATCAGAAGGATACGGTCAGGACTCCTGCTTCTACCAGGGCAGCTTTTCTTCTTTATACTATTATGAATCTTCTATAACAGTTTTTACTTGAAGAAAGGTTTTACTCCTCCAGGAAAAGGTTTGAAAGCCAATAAATTAATGGAAAACAGGCCTAGGTTCGAAGCCTAGGTTTGCCATGTGCTAACTATGTGGCTCTATACACTTTTTAAGACCTAAGTTTCTATATAAATAATGGGGCTAGTATCTTTGCACGTAAGTCCTATTATGAGATAATATACGTGAAAGTGTCTGGCCTTTGATAATGACTCAGAATGTAGCATCAACAGATGAAGTCTGGGCTAGGGCCACCCCTCAGCCTGCCTGCAGGCTGTGCTCTGTTACACCGCTAGGCCCTTCCTCCATATTGGATCCACCATCTCCTTAGAGTGGTCTCCCCTTCTCTGTGTCTCAGTTCAGCTTTAGGCACTTGACTTTTCTGGTTATTACCAAGAATCCCACTACTCTTGGAAGGTTATCACTCCAGTACAGTGCTTAAATATTACTCAGGGAACTTTCATAAATCTCTCACCTTATCCTCACAACCTCGTAAGTGACAGGGTTCAGGCTACCAAGTGTTACATCATTAGTCCAGAATTTAATAAGCATGGCCCCAACTAAATTCAGGTCTCTTGACTTCTGATTCTTTTCCCACCAACCACCAGAGATTTAAAAGTGTACTCTACATCACAAAGCCCCAAGTATTTTTGAGGCACATAGGGAAAATTTTTCTTTCTTTGGGCTTATGAAAATGGGTCTGAGAGGAAATTCTGAATGTAATCTGAGTTGTCAGCAGCAGAACTTACAAGGACACCTAAACAAGGTAGAGTTAAAAAGCACAGCATTAAAAGTGTATCATCCAAGCCTCCAACCCTTCCTAGTTAGTCATTTTCAAATTTGGCAGGTCCAGAAATGAGCCATCTAGCCTGTCAGTTGTTTTAATTAGGGTAAAGCTAAAAAGGCGAGGCTCAGTGAGCCTTAGAATCCAGAAGAGTCTGGACATCCACAGGCACCAAGGCAGGTTCAGATAAAGCAGCAGTTCCCTAAACGTCACCTGTGGTCTTTTGGCGCGGGGGTGGGGTGTGGGGGGCTCTTTTCAGGAGTCTGCATGGTCAAAACTATTTTCATCATAATGCTAAAACATTTTCTTCTTACTGCGTTGATATGTGAACTGACAGTACAAAATCAGTGTTGGGTAAAACTGCTGGTGCTTCTGTAAAAATCAGGGCAGTGGCACCAAACTGTACTGGTAGTCACTGTACTTCATTCACCACACACTAAAAAAAAAATTTTAAGCCAGTCTCATTTAAGAATGTCCTTATTAAAGCAGTAAAATCATTTTTATAAAATCTTTGAGTAAATCTTTTTAATACTGTTACAAAATGGCAGTATGCTTAAAGCACTTGTGCTGAATGAAGAATGGTTGTCTCAAGAAAAAGCACTCGTGTGACTATTTAAGTTGTAAGCTGAACCAACTGCCTTTTTCACAGGACACCATTTTTACTATTGCAAACTGGTTTTTCAGACGGGTATTTAGCATACATTTTCTTTGAAAATGAATGAAACTGCAACTTAAAGGAAAAGAGCTGACAGTGATAAAATTTTAGCTTTCAAACAAAAATTAGAATTTTTAGAAAACTTATATCTGCTCCTTTGACTCAACTGCTTCTCAAAACATAAAAGATATTTCTGATATAGGTAATATTAACAATGGTGATGTTTTTATGTTGTCTGATGAAATGTGTCAACATTTGGAAGCTCTATTTAACTCAGTGAACCAGTATTTTCCAAATAACCGATGTAAGAGTTCAAAATCATGCAAAGGTGAAAGATCCACCCCAAGTGCCTAGATGTACCAATGGATTTTTAACGTGACACAGTACCAAACTTTCATTGATAACAATTTTAAATTCCTCATTGCAGCTAATCTTTAAGAAATTTCCACTTGCTGAGTTTTGATGGAGAATCAAAGAATATGATGATTTGAAAGGCTATTAATACACAATCCTTTTCCAACTGCCTATCTGTGAGGCCAGAGCTCCTTCATAAATGTACTTCAGACAACATATCAAAACAGACAGAAGAAGCAAATGAGAATCCAATTAAATTCTATTAAGCCATACATCTGATTTGCAAAAAATGTAAAATGATGACACGTCTAACTTTTCCTTTTGGGGGAAATTGGTTATTTTTTCATTAAAATGCCATTCATATTAACATGTAATAAGTTTGATTTTTAAAATGTATTAGTTTTAACTTCAATTATAGTAAATATTGATAAAAATAGCCTACATAAAGTTCTTTGGAGTCCTCAACTTTTATTTAGAGTGTAGTCTTTCTGATAGTCTTGTAAAAAAAAAAAATTGGACTGGGGAGATAAAGTTGTAGTGCCATCTACTGGCAAGGCCTGAAATCGAAGCTGCCATCAAACTATTTCCTCTCCTACAACGAGATACTTCTCAAAAGGTGCTTTTTCTGTGAGGCTCAGCCAGGGGGCGGCAGCTGGGGGCACACAGAAATAGAGTAACACTACTTCTCTGCAGCCTCTCTTACAACTTAAACCACTGGTTACTGAAGTCAGCACCTGTGGTATCTAGTGATGAGGTTTACTTCTACATTAGTGACTTCAGAGCTATTGTCTCTTCAGTTTAACAACCCTTTATTTCTTCTTCGGCAACATTTGTTGGTGTAAGAAGTTTAACTCTCTTACATGGGACCTGCCCAGCTGGGCTCACTGAGGCTTAGTCTTTGGCTCTAAAGAAATGTGAACAGCATGATCTAAGGTAATGAATGCTCTACGGATTCTATTCAGCCTTTAAATTGCCTATGTGGGCTGAATCGAATAAAGAGAAGAATTAAGGGGAGAGGTATTTTTCCTTACTGTGACCATCTCTTACGTGACATCATCCTAAAGGAAACTGAAGCCATTTGAAGCTTTTTCTCCTCACCTTCCTCTTTTCAACACACCTCATTTTCTTGGTGGCACTGCAAGTAATACTGAAACTGATGATGTGAAAACGTCACTTTTGTTGGCAGATTTTAAATGGAGGGACTCCAGACATTCCTTCCAGTGGCCTACTACCAGGGCAGGCTCAGGAGAACCCAGGTTATCCATATTCTGATAGCTCTTCTATTCTTGGTAAGTAGCTTTGTTATTCATTTCCATTGCAATGACCTTGCAAAAAACATTTGACAAAGTCAATTTTAAGAACTGAATGTACAAAACAAGCTAGTTCTAGGTAAACTTGATGAGAACAAAGTAAAGGTATAAAATTTGTTTAAATCTTTACTTCAAAGTTGTGTTTAATGGTTGGGTTCTGGTGGGGGTCCATGTTTGTCCCAGGAACTCAGGAGGCTACAGCCGCCTCGACACAGGCTTTCTCCCAGCGTGTGGAACATAATTTCTTCAGAGGGAGGGCTAATGGAGATTCAGAGATGATGCCTAAAAGGGGGCTCAATAAGCATTTCAGAGGGTATGCCAAGTCATAAAGCGATAAGGAGTCTGCGTCTCCGATCCTACCCATCTTTTTCTCTCTAGAAGTTTGCCCTCGACTCTCTACCTTCCTATTATTTCTTTTTTCTGTAACTCCCTCCTTATAACTGGTTATATCATAAGATGAGGTCAACTAAAATACTTTCAATCTTTACTGAATTTTAAGTACTTTGTTTCTAAAAAGTTCGTTCTTCCCTCTGAAAAATACCAAAGTTAAAAAATGTACATGGCAATGCAGCCCACAAAGCAGCCTCCCTCATCCTGCTCGCCCTACTGTTAAATATAACTTAAGTGTGCTTCGGAATTGCTTACTAAACTTAAAACATGCTTCGGTATCATCAGACCAGTCTTTATCTCCTCCCACAGGCGAGAACCCTCACATAGGCATAGACATGATAGACAACGATCAAGGCTCAAGCAGTCCCAGCAACGACGAGGCAGCAATGGCTGTCATAATGAGCCTCCTGGAAGCAGATGCTGGGCTGGGTGGCCCTGTTGACTTTAGCGACTTGCCGTGGCCGCTGTAAACACTATGTGTTGCTTTGGCAACAGCTACAGTATCAAAGTGCATCACTGATGGAGTTTTACAGTCTGTGAAGCTTACTGGACAAGGAGAGAACAGCTTTTATGTACTGTCTTCATAAAAGCCATCTCAGAGCCATTGATACAAGTCAATCTTACATGTGTAACTTCAGACAAAGTGGAACGAAGCCTGCTCCAGTGTTTCCTCGTCATCGATTGTTGGGCTAGCTGTGGATAGCTTGCATTAATTGTATATTTTGGATTCTGTTTGTGTTGAATTTTTTAATCATTGTGCACAGAAGCATCATTGGTAGCTTTTATATGCAAATGGTCATTTCAGATGTATGGTGTTTTTACACTACAAAGAAGTCCCCCATGTGGATATTTCTTATACTAATTGTATCATAAAGCCGTTTATTCTTCCTTGTAAGAATCCTTTACTATAAATATGGGTTAAAGTATAATGTATTAGTTAAATATTTTTAATAAATGTTTCCCTTGTTCTATAAATACTGTTCACATTTCAAATGATTAGGGAAAAAAACCCTACAGGAAAATGCATCATCGATTTTTTCCCATGGTGGGTATTTATGGATGATCCACACCAAAAACACGGGCAGTGCTTTTCTGGCCTTCATAACAATTCTAGGACTTACATAATCTCCCTGTTACTAGTTTAGCTGTATTGTAAACATAGTTAATCCCCAAATTGTTGCAAATTTTAATTTATATGAGCATAAACATATTCTCACACACAACATGCTTACACACATACTTCGGATCCTCTGAAATGACAAACTCAAAGATTAAACAGAACACATCGGCTTCTCTACTACACCTCCTCTCTGAACTACTACCTTGTATGGCTTCAAACATTAAGTGACCCCAGATCCAAAGCACCCAAATACTTCCGATTCCTTCTTGAACTGGGCCACAGGATACTAAAAAAAAAAAAAAAAAAAGAAAAAAAAGAAAAGAAAAAAGTACTTGCATGAATAATTTGCTAAGCAGAATATATAGCACAGTACAATGGAAAAAGCAGTGAACCACTGCCAAGAATTTGCCTCTGAAACTTAAGGCTACTACAGGACCTGGTAAAGGTATTTCACCCTCCATATCAAGGTGGACTAGAAAATGTTCTTTTCAGCTCTAACAATATTTTGGATTTATAGTATATTTTATAATTAGTAGGGAATACAAGTGCCTCATCCCACATATACCAAATTGGAGTTCCTTGAGCTACTATCTGCATTCTAGTTATGATATCAATAAGACAGGAAATCTGCTAATTATGAAACTGAAAATCTGCTCAAGATGGTTATAAATATCAGAAACATTAAAACAATGGAATTTTATTTTGATGAAAAACTTGAGTTTACAATCATTTAGTAAATGAAGAGCAAACAGTTCATTTTCCTATCTCATAACTCTTAAGAAAAAAATTATTAGTAAATAAATAATCTGTGAACAGATTAAGGGTAAGGCAGACTGGATAATAAACCACCTCTGATGTTCACACTCCCTGCATGTGACTCACTTGGAAAGAGTGAAAAGGGCACTGGAGATAACTGAAAAGATGTGGGCATTGAATTTCATCCTAATCATTCAAATAAGCCCAATGATAAACTCATTTTTTCGCTCATCATGGGCAGCAGAAAACACACTTTACTGAAGGAATACTCTGACAGAAGCACTTAATTATACTGTGCATCACAACTATAAAAATGGCTTGAATAATTCCATTTAACCACCATTTATAAAGTGCAACTATATAATATTCTACACTTTATCTGGGGTGTGATAAATATCAACCTAGACTGAAAGTACCCCAGCTGCCAATTTCCACCACGCCTGAAAAGATCTAGATGTGTGAAAAAGGACTGTCCCCCATACAAAGAACCAATTTCACAAACCTACTGGTAAACAAATACATTTATATAACTGGAACTTCAAGATGCTAGAGTTGTACTCATTTAAAAAACCATTCAGCTACCTTTGGTCTTTAAAAAGCCTACACTGCAATATCCTAAACATTGTTATGTGCATCTCACAATGAAGAGAGTGGCCTTGCAGTGCAGAATGAGGAGAGTGCAACGTCACTGTGAAGAGTAGCATGCTATGGTTTCAAGGAACGTCAGCATCACAGCATTGGATTCTGTGCGTCAGGATCGAGGTCGTTGTTGCCAGAAGGGGGATGGATAGGGAGAATATCCAGCTCATCCACTTGTGGAGTTGGGTGCATGACCACCAGCTGATCCTGGGGAATGTCTGCGGCAGCTGCTGCAAGGTTGGTGATAGATTTACTCTTCACACACTGAAAGTCTACATGTCGACTCTTTCCTTCTTCCTTCTCCCAAGACATTCGAATAAAGGGTCTTTGGACATAGTTGTAAATCACTTCTGGGCGGCCCCCAGGCCTTTTCTTTACTTTTTCTTTGTAGGTAGGATAACCTAAAGGAGAGAAAGGCTTTAAAGACTGAGGATACTCACACACACACACATGGACATGCACAGGGTCCCCACATTTCTTACACAGCTTAACCTAAAGAGGCCTTTTGTACTGCAGTTCCTGAACAAACTAAAGAACGGAAACCAATATTCTACCCCTTTAGTCATCAGTTCAACAACAAGAAACTGAAATCCTACTGATGTAATTCACAAAATCTTCCACCATCCATCAACCACCAGAAAGACATTCCTAAAGTAAGAGCATGGAGGGGCTGGGGCCCGAATACAATGGTACGTAGCACACCGCGGGTGCCAGTCCTATCCTTACCAACCCTGAACAGGATTATCTGGCCTCAAGGCCTGCAATTTACCACATTAGCCTTCTATTTTCATTAAACCTAAATCTGATCTTTATTTCGTTCTGAGTGTTTATCTTTCTTTTTTTGTTGTTAAATGACAAGCAGCTTTAGAGCTCAATAGCTTCACTGGTTCCAGGTACTTCTGCACCTAGGTTAGCAAAGCAAATATTTTAACCCCATACCATCTTAATGTTACTACTCTCAACGACCAAGCAGTTCATTCAGATTGGCAATTCCTAAGCAGCTGTGGACAAAAAAAAATGTTGCCTGTCTTTTCAGTAAACAACAAATGCTGCCTGCCACAAAGGCGTCCTGCAGGCCCCTTCTTCCCCGCCCTGCCCTACAGTGCACCCTGAAGGGAATTTAGGATGGAGAAAAACAGGATTCTGGCCCAAGACAGCTGAGATGCATATCAAGGGAATAATTTCAATGAGCCCAGATTTCTGTATCTTCTCAAATAGAGAAGCACTAAAATCATTAACTTGAGATGTCTTTTTTTTGTGATTAGCAGTAATCTTTTGATGTTCAACTACATTTTTTTTCAGCAAAAATTCATACATATATACTGGCTCCTCCCCTACCTCTTTGGAATAGTTTCTCAGAACTGAGAGGCTGTTGTATCCTGTGCTATAATCCTCAGTAAGGTCACTAAATAAAACATAATCCTCAACTTTTAGGCTGTAGGGTTTTTTTTGTCATCGTCCTCCCTCCAGTTGACCTAGCTTTCCCTGATTATATAGCTTCCTCCTCTTGGATCATAATCACTATAAAGTAACAACCGGTAAGGACTATCCTAGTTTTGGAAAAATTTTCACTCATTTACCAGTAAGCCAATTTCTCTAAAGACATACTTTCTTTAGAAGCTATCACAAGTTCCTTCTTTCCTTCCTACTAGTAAGAATTGCTAGTTCAGACCAAAGACTGGCAAACATTTTCTGTAAAGGGCCAGATGGTAAATATTTCAGATTTGTGGGCCATATGGTCTCTGACACACCTACTCAATTATGCCACTGTAAAGTGAAATCAGCCACAGACAATACATAAATTAGCTTGTCTATGTTCCAATAAAACTTTATTTATAAAAAAAACAAACAAACAGGTAATGGGTTGGACTTGGCCCATGGGCCACAGTTAGAATCAGAAAAAAATTGGCCTCACATAATAGGGACTCGATTAAGGATTCCTGCACAGGAGGATGTATGTAGGCATCACTGGTAGCCAGTGTAGCCATCTGTGGAGTGTGCACATATGTGGTTGAGGTGGGGCTGGGTGGTGTGGGGCCCGCAGGAGCAAGCAGGACTAAATACCTTCTAAAGACCTTGTGTAGAATACCTTCTTTGTTTCACACTTCCACTCAATTCCCATCTGAAGGGCAGCACCAGAGATCAGAAAAGCTTCCACTTCTACTCCCTTGTCCTTAATTGCTCTTTGGCTACTAGAAAGTCTAAAATTCCCATCTCACTATATTCCAATCTGTCCTCCACACAGAATCACCACTTTTACACAAGTGTAATCATATTACATCCTTGCTTAAAAACTACCAATGGTTTCCTCATGCTTAAAGGGGAAGGTCTATACTCCTTAGCACAGAACATGAGGCTTTTTTACAATCTAGTTCCAACCCACTTGTCATCAGGCTTCAGATCAAATGTCTGCTTCTTAGAAAGGCCATCCCTGTCCTCCCAATCTAGAGTCACTCTCTCCAGTTGCCTTCTCCTTAGTGCTGAAATCAAACAGCTAAATCCCATCGACAGAAGAGGACACACACTGGTAAAGCTTATGTGTCAGCAACTATTTTTTTTAAGCCCCGAGTTTCCTCCCCTTACTATAAAGTCCCTATTTCTGGTCATCCTTTCCTGTATGTCTCAGCAGCCCATTATTGTGATCTCCAACAGCTCATCTGGTCATTGATCGACACCATTATCTTCATTTTCACCATCATGAATACATACTGAGAAATTACTATGTGCCAGGTCCTATCTTAAGTGTTTTTCATGTATGAATTCATTCTATCCTCATAATAACCCTATAAAGTACTTATCAATGCTCCCATTTTAGATGACAAAACTGAGAGAGAGACATTAAGTGCCTTGGCCAAGGTCATACAGCTATTAACTCACAGGATTTGAACACAAGTAATCTGGCTCCAGAACCTTTACTCTTTACACTATGCTATGAAATGCCAAGATATTTTGTTTTTAGTAAGGACACTTTAAAATAAAAGAAGCATCTGACATGACATCTGGAAAAATTCATTTAAATCATAAAGTAAAAAGCAATCTAAAAATGTATGCATTTAAGTAAGATGGAATACATTTGCAATTCAATTTAAGTTGAAAATAAGCTAACCATCATACCTTAAGACACCAGTAAGCTACTAGTACTGCTTTTATATGAATGTTCAGAAAGTACTAGCTTTTAGTTCTGTTGGGCTTTGAGGAGCTCCAACAATCACTAGAGACAAAGAGCCCTGCCAATATGGGAACGTACACACGTTCATGCCAAACACACTATATGGACTTCTAAAAAACGCATTAGGTCGAACTATGGTGGAAAAGACATTCACATTCTATATTGCTAGGGAATCTAATCGAATAAATAATAATTTCTAATAGCCTTCTATTTATCTTCTCAGATAAAGGAAGCCTATTTTTGTCATTTATGTCTACTGCATAAGCATTTAATATCATTTGTCTGAGTTTTTCTCTGAGTATTCAAACTATATTCCAACTGGAACTGTAGAACTTATTTTTCCAAAAGAAAATTAATAGAGAGTAGTGAAAATGTCTTACCTTCTATTCCCAGTCTAATCTTCTTAAGACCCCTCTCCTTCAAAACTGATTTGGCCACATCTCTGTTTTCAATGTACTTGAAAAATCTATATAATTTTGTGCTATAAATAACTGGAAACAAAGAGACAAAAATATTTTCTTATTAAAATCAAAGTACTTGGAAATGATTAAGTTTATCTTGATCATCAAAGGAGACTGACAACCCTAAAAGCCCAAATAATGGATGCAGTGATGCCAAAGGATGACTAGCCACATGACAGGACAATTCAGTACAGTTAATATATAAGCAAATGTCTACATAAGTTGAAACAAGAGAAGCTTTAATAACCAACCAGGTAACCCAATCCATAGGAAGAATCTCCTTCTGAAAGATATATCATATACAAACTTACTGGAATGGGATCTGCCCCAATTTCTTCAAATAAAGAACACCAAAAGAAGGTATCAAACATATCATTATTAAGCAGGCAAAGAACTTTACTCTGATGCCTACAAGACCTCATCTGGAGAGAAAAAAAAAAAACTACCTTGTCAGAAAGTACAAAATGGATACATCTTACATTTCATGGATTGAGCAACTATTAATAATTCCCCCAAAAGGCAAAGACCCTCCCCACAAACTGTTTTCCATTCAGGCGAACAGCCCCATTTAATACTGATGTTAAAAATGGCAGATTCGAGCATGTTCTGCCTAGGTTAGTCTGTTTAGAGCAAACTGGCTTTGCAAAGGACAGACATTCCACTGACAACATGTTGAGTCTTCCAAATGTGCTGGGCACTTCAGGGAGTTAGACTGAAGGACCTTCCTCGCCTTCTCTCTTTCAGGTGGAGTTATCTCCCTTAAAAGGTGAACTGCAAAGGTTTTTTCAAAAAAAGAAAAACACACTCACAAACCAAACATGCTGGTTTAAGAGCCAATAAAAGGAAAAAACGTATACAGAAGCTACTCATGGGGTAAATACGTGATTATCACTACATCCTTAAGATTATTGATATATTATGATTAAGATTTTTTGGCATCTCATAATG